GTCAGTCTACGATGAATAACAACTTGAGATACTGAATTATCAACAGTTCAACTGGAAGCATTATCTCTGGGTCTTAAGTTTTGTGCTGTTTTCAAGTATCCCCAAAGAGATTATAATGGTGCGTCCTGACCAAGGGATGGATGTTGTATTGATGAGTCACCAAGAATACACAGATGGAATGTTATCTATTCTCTTTGATGAAATGAAGTTTATAAAACCTACGAGTGAGAAGATTCAGACGGAGCAAACTAGAAAAACAACTAACCGACATTCTTTAAATACTGACGACTGATTCTTTGATACATTCTGAATTATTTGAATCCCTACGACTATCTGGGTCAAATACCTCCAGACTGTACGAACTGCTAAAGGTTTATAAAGAAGGCGCACCTTTACGACCTATTCTCGACATGACAGAATCGCCTTATCATCGTATTACCCGATGGTTAGTCAAAATCTTAGATCTGATAAGAAGGCAAGTCTCACTTCATACGATTCGTGACTCTTTTGACTTGGTCAGTTTTACTGATAGTGTAAATTGCTCTGACAAAATTATGTTCTCTTTAAATATGGACTCATTATTTACAAGCATTCCATTGAATGAGACAATATGTTACATATTTGACTATACTGACTCTAATGGATTGAATGTTGGAAAACTCATGCATTATCTGAACGAGCCGTTGCTGAGATGTACCTTGAACGTCCAATTTTCCTACAATCATAAAATATACAGACAATAGCTACGGATAGCTATAAATTCACCGTTGGGCCTCCTGGCTGCAGACTTCTTTATGTCAAAGCTAGAAAACACACACCTAAGCGGAGTGATTAACCATTTCTAACTTCTTTCATCATCTCCAATAGCATGGATAATCTAAAAGATATCCTGTCTCTTTTTTTAATAACTACCACCCCTCAATCACGTTCATATTAGAGATGGAACTTAATTCTAAGACATTCTTTTTAGATATTGATCCACAGAAAACTCAAGTGAAATGAACAACTTACAAATTTTCATAGTTGGGTATCTCCATCCATCGAATACAATCTAATTTGTTCCATATGCTATAGGATTCATACTATCTGAAGTGCTGACACTTCTTTACGTCCAATTCAGTTTGTCCCACCGGTTACATCTCATTGGAACTTCAGGAAATCTCAGTAATGATCACTGAATAGTATATTCAGTTTAGAGATTCGTGGAGATTCTTTTGTTGATTTTAAGTTTGCATTTTTCTACACTTTTGTTCGTTTTAACCATGTTATTGCGTCCTTTGATCGCATCATATATTCAAGCACATTTTAAAAAAAGTTTACGTTCATCTCCGATACCATTATCAAATAAAGCATCATGTTAGATGGCAACGTGCTATGAAGTGAATAACCTTATGTCAAATGACTCTGTCTGAAATTATAAGCACAAACTGCAGAACTGAATGCAGTAAAAAGTGGATTACTTACAATCTCTTATATCCTGTAATATGCACCATAATACTAGAGTTATTACATTGCAAGAAACTTGGTTACACATGAAATTTATCATAAACAATTTGATTTGTCTAAATGATTACAAAACTCTCCGTCAATGATCATCTATGTAGCTCTATTAAGAAAAGTGGAGGTGGAGTAGCTACCTTCATCAATACCTATTGGTGCATTTCTGGTCACATCTACTTCAAATTCTCAAATGATTGCATAGATTACTGCTGAAAACATTTGAACAAGTATCAATCAGTTAACTGATACTATACATATTTATGTGACAACTGGTTACAGTTACTTCAAATTATCTAGTTTCTCTGATATATTCACGTAAATTCACAACCCCGTATACTCCTCTGTGGTTCCCTGTTGATAATATGTAACCATTTCAACTCTTGTGACCAAAAACTTTCTCAAAACTCTTGATGATCAAAACCTTTTTAACTTCATAACACTTCACTTGATATTCACTGATCATACTGAAAAATAAAACGAAAATCGAAACAGATCCCCCCCACCCACTACTCAGCTCACATCATTGGATTAAACGTGTTTTACTCAAAATATATGCAAATTAATAAAACAGCCTTTACCTATAAGAAAATTGTACACTGAACTATTCACATAGTAGTAACATACTTAATCTAAGAGAAATGCTACAATATACAGACTGGAATATATTTGACAGTGGTGCTGTGAATGATACTATTGAGAGTGTGACATGCTATCTCAAGTCCTGTCTGAATATTTGTTGCCTCAGTGAAAAGCTTTTTCTACGCTGCCATCGTATATCTCCCCTCCAGTTTAAGAGACTAAGAAGTGGAAAAGAAAGACCATAAAGGTAAGTGATTTTGATGATGGTGCTCGTCGATTGAACGTTTTAATTAAGTTGGAGATTAACCGTCTGAGTCTACCATATAACCAGAAACTTTAGCTATAAAAAGGCTCTCCAACATGTGGAGACTTCGTAAAGACCTCATTGGTAGTAAACACCTTAGTAAAGAAGCACATGTCGACGTCTGTGCCTTGAGCAAATCATTTATACGCCTAGAGTTCACTGCAAAAGATGTTTTCAGATATCTCAAATCCCTGAACCAATCACACAGTTCAGGTTTGGATGGTATGTCAAGCTTCGTATTCACGAGGTGTGTTGATGTTTTATGCCATCCATTAGGTGACATGTTCATCAGATGGTTTTTAGAAGACACCATGCCAGCTGCCAGGAAAGATATCAAGACCACCCCCGTACCTAAGTCAAGGACTTCAGGCGCATATCCGAAATCCCGTTCGAATGCAGTTATCTCTCCATTCTTAAAAAATGGAAAGCTAATAATACCAGTGCTCGAACCCTCACTGAAGGCTTTCAGAGACCCTCTGGATGTCGTCACTTTCTTATATCACAATATTGCTTGTAATCTTGATAGAAATACCAAGTATATCAGGTGTGCCTTTTTAGTGGATACATCAGCATTTGATCCTATCCCAAGACCTCTTTTACTGAACAAGCTACACGATACACATGGTTAGTCCTGGATAATCAGCTGACTGTATTCCTATTTCGCTGAACGGAAACCACATACTGTTCAGAGAGGAAAGCACTCCACCTCATTGCTTACTGTGACTGGCGTTCTGCAAGGAGCCGTTCTTTCCAACTGTCTTTTCTCTCTCTTTCTGAATGACTTATCATCTTCAGCTACTATCAGTCTTATCAAATGTCCTCATGACCTGACAGTTTCCCTACCTGTCTTCTCTTCAACAGATTCTTCCCAACTGAATAATTCCTATTACTGTTACACGATGGTCCTCCGTGAATGGTCTTATGCTTAATTCCTCAAAATGTCACACCATGAACTTTAGTTTAAGACATGAACACAACCTATGTAAACTGCTTAGTTCTCATGATTCCTGTTGTGTTGATCGTTGGGCATTAGAGAATGTTACATGTGTGATTTATCTCACCGTATATGTTTTTCTCCAGACCTAGACTGGTCCTCCCTTACCTCACTTATTTACAATAGAATTTTCACCCAACTTCCTATATTAGGAAGTTGAGAGTATCTGCTGGTATAACTCAACCTCTCCTTCTGTGTTTATGAACTCCTGAATCTTGCCTGTTCTCCTCTTTTGCTCTCCTTTATTTTTTCCTGAGTTGTTGAAAAAGGACTATGTTGTGTGTTGTGTAGAACTTTGAAGATTGTCAGCAGAACTAGTGGTGTACCTGTGAACCTACTAGTTAAAAGAGTTGTGGACAAATATCTGAATTCATGTAAACATCTGACAGGTGTTATTTTATCAGATAACCAGCATCGTCTTCACTCAAAGCTGTCTGCATGTCGGTCATCTGGATAGACGTGGAGTAAGTACATAAGACTTTATTCATGCGTACTACAAAATATGTAAACTCTTCAATCCCTTAGGTATTTAGCTCATCTGCTGTGTGACAGAGAAAGTATTACAAATGAACTAACTAATCAACTTGTGTTTTTAAAAACAAACTAATTAATGAGTACACAGCATGTTACTATTTATGTATTATGAATCTAATTACGAGTGTGATTGTCTACCTAAATTGACTGTGTATTGTGAATAAAATTGTAGGCAGAGTGAATATTCTTATGTGTAATTTCTACTTGTTTCATTTCACTATGTATACATGTACACTGTCTCTGTCCAATCGATGCTAGATAATGACATGTTGAAAATTCTGTAGAGTATTCCCTAAAAATGCCTTTCACAATGAAGCCATTATTATTATTATCCAGTATGCCACGGGGGAACGATAGTCACACTTCTTGTACAACCAAATATACCAACGAAATTAACATACTTGAGACTCAGGCAATATCAAGGCATCCGCATAGGAGCCCATAAACCAATATTGGTCGAACAATTCGATCCAACAAAACAACGGAGAATAACAAATATGTCAATAAACAGTAATAATTAATACCCGTTTTACAAGAAGCTGCTATCGTTCCTCCGTGGCATAGTGGATAACACCTTGGAGTTTTGAAGCGTTTGGTAAGAGGTGCGGGTCTCAGTGGGAACAATGCCACTCACTGGGGTACAACTGATGAGTCCCAAATAGGACGAAATGCACGTTCTGGTTTCTTCTACAAGCCACAACCAACCAAATTACTCCCAAAGTAGCTTCCACAATGAAGCCATTATTATTATTATTATTATTATTATTATTATTATTATTATTATTACTATTATTGCAAGTGTCAAACAGTCTATTGATCGATTCATCGATTTTGATTGGTATAAATTTTAAGCACTCCAACGGTATACTATAGAAATACACGCGCGCATACACACATACACGTATTATATGACGTAAACAATACATGCTTGCACAATTTTAGAAACGATTGGTTCGTTAGTAGTTAGTTGTGAATTCGTGCAGAGACGAATGCTTAATCATATGACCAAGGTAGACAACAACACCACTCAGTATGATGCATCGTGGAATGATTTTAAACCAGGAGTTAGTAGGTTGTAAATAATTGTAACTCATGAGAATTTTAAATTTCAAATATTAACCAATCAGACAGTTTCTTTTTAAAAAAAAAGAAAGCATATTAGTGCTCATACATTTAATTTTCATTGTATTTTGTGTAGTGAAGTATGAATGCGTGTGCGTGTGTGCGTGTGTGTGTGCGCACGTGCATGCGTGCATATGCACATATATGAGTTGCAGAAATTGCTTGTCTTCCTCAGTTTGTATATACTAAGCCGCAAATACTAACTGCTGGAATTCATCGCCATTATTGAACTTTGTTCGGTTTTCAGTCACGGTCTACTTTCATTCAATGGCTGGTGGTAGTAGTAGTAGTCCAGTAATGCAACAACGCAGACTCTCGGTATTGATACACATTACTGTTTATGACAATTGTTATTACTTTTTTTCCAACAGGTTAAACTTTATACAGAATTTTCACAGAATTATCCTGCCATTCGTAATTTACCAGTTCAAATTGATGATAGTTCACATTCAATGAGATCAATTTCTGTGCCAACAGGTTTCCAGTCTACAGTGAGTGGAGAATTTTTTCGATTTTATTTGATGCTTTAAATTTCTGAGTACATTTCAGTTGCATAACTTAATATGAATATTTGTAACTTAGGATGTGATAAAACTCTATGTATATGAGACAGAGAAGTCATTATTTGCTCATTGGTGGTTGTAAGTGAAGTCGTAGACGTGTTATTCGTCCCCTTGGTGACTCTTCAACGAGATCTTTGTGATGATACTCCCTTCTGCCATTCAACCCTGGTCACATTGCATCATTCGGTAGACTGCCGAGCCTGCCCCCCCCCCCCAAGATATAACAGTCATTAAAGCTTCAATTTCGCTGTTGTTCATCTTCAATGCCATAGTACCGACTAGTGTATACTCATCGCTGGTGTTTTCTCTTGTGGCTTTTTTAATCCAGCAAAGCACTTGTCTGTCTGATGTCATCCCTCCCCCGCTGGTGAACTGTCAATTTTGTCTTTTAAACTTTTCAGTTTAAATAAGCAAACCAGCTGACCAGAATAAATTCATAATACAACTGCCTTAAGCGTGTGAGCGAAGAAGATTCAGTCCTGCTTGTAAGAATTTGGGACAAAGAAGAAGTGACTGTCGTCTTGCAAGGACCAGATCAGTGGTTACCTTAAAAATTTTTATCCCAAATGCTACACGACTTCACTGGTGACACTAGCCAAAATCATATGGATTTGTTTGTGAGGGCATATACGAATTGCTTGATGGAATTAACATGATATTAAACTACACAAAATGTACTGTGTACTCGTTTACTACTTCAGGGGATCTACATTAATTTACTGAATCTACCCCTAGGAACTTTTTTTCGTCCTGTGAGGATGTAACTGTTCTTTTGCATTTGAAATAAATACAGTTTGTTATCTGTGTGGTTTGAAATGGTACTACTGTTGAATGCGCCAGGTATGTTATCTATCCTGTCCCAGTCAATCACAAACAAAATTAACACAGAATAAAGTGAATATGAGATTCATTAAACTAATTGATGACTAGATCAATAAACAACAAACCGATTAAAAATACACAGTATTTATAGCCTTTTGTATAACATTGATGAAAGTAATCAATAAATTAACTTTAAAATAATCGAACTACTTGTAAATCGATTTTCACACTAAAACTATTATTATTATTATGATTATTATTATTACCAGTAAATGAACTTCTTAGCCATCAAAATATTACAAGTAAATGGATAGTAGATTTTGTGGGAAGTAAAAGTGTTTTCCGAGGTTAGTTTAAAAGCCACTCCAACAACTGCTGAAATGACCAATCACATTGCCCATTTTACAAAAAATACCGAAATATGATTGGCTATTTCAGCAGTTTTTAGGTTGACCTTTAAAATCATTCATTTTCCAACACTGTCAGCAATTCATTATTCGATATTAACATCGGCTTAGAGAGAGCAGGCGTAGGAGGGAGTTGAATACTGTCTTCACCTGGGGATGCTTTAATAAACTTAATTATCATACTTGTACGTCCACGGGTGGGGGTGGGGTGGCGGGAGTTATCGAATCAGGGTAATTATTAGTTAGTCTCTTCCATAGCTAAACTTCCCATTGAGTCATAAGATAATAAAGACATCACGGTTAACAGATTTTTTTTCTGTGATATCAGCTTCTTCAGCTGTACAATTGCATCTAAATATAATTACATAATTACATAAAAATGTCAATATTTTTCCAACCAATAATTATTAGTAGTTTGTGATGATGAAAATAATAGAAGACTGAAAATTACGTAAGAGATATGAACTAGAGAGTTTAAGAATTAAGAAGTGGATAAGAACAGAGAAAGACGAATTCACTTCTAGATGTATAATTCTGGTTTCTATTGCTGGTATTTGCAGAGATTTTACCGGTGCAAGGTAAGCGTTTTCTTACACTCTTCAAGGAAGAGTATGTTATGCTTTGTAGCCTAGTAAAAACGAGTCTTCCAGAACTGTGTCCACTGTCAACCGAATGTTGTAATACGCAAATATTAATTGATCTGCAATGAATCAACCTGGAAGGTGTTGGTGTCCACGCCGGACAAACTGCCTCTGTGTACAACTTCTATATGCCTAGCTCCATGGGAGCAGGTATAAATACCGAATAAATAATATTGACATTGTTAAGTACAATAACGGTATATAGGCTGCCATGTGCTCGGGTGCCTTTATGTTTCCAGTGTTTTTAAAACTTGATATGATGAATAATGATAGATAGTGGCTAGCAGTGCAATCCAGGGCACTCGTTTCATCCTGTTTGAGATAACGCTCTCAGGGATTGGAACGATTGGTCCTGGGGTCGAACCTCAGTGGGAAAAACACCGCCTACTGGGAGGCAGATACATCCAACTAAAGAGTGAGTCCCAGATAGGACGTAAAGTGCGGCCTGAAAGCCACTGCTAGCCACTCGACATTGCTAAATAACTATGTTAAAATGCAATCGTACGGCTGAGGAAGACAAGCAAAACCGAAAACAAATTTGCTGATGCTAAAGTCTCCATTCTTTTAATGACTACACTTAAAATGCCTTTATGCAAGAGAATCTCACTCTTTCCTGTTCTCACACAGAAGTAATTATTTCAGATCTCTTCATCTCCACGTAAATTTAAACTGATAATTCAAATAACTTATTCATTTTGGGGGTTTGTTGGGATTTATTACGTCATGAATTGACATAAGTTGGAGAACTATTGGAAACTTTAGAGCACTGGAAAGTTGTTTCGTCTTTGCATGGGACTCTTCTGCAGTGCACACCCCACCAAGGATCGGATCCAGGACGTCCAGGTTCTTTGGCCACTGTGTTACTACTGAACCACTAGGTCAGAATCCAGTGGTCCACATTTCCTACTCCTCTTCAGTTCACAATCCCTGGCCTACTGCTGAAGAGTCACAAGCGAAGAGGGAACGGCTGTCCAATGATCTCAGGTTTCCAATGTTTCTCCAACTGACGTCAATCCATGATGCATACCGACCAGGAAAAAAATCATTAACCAAAGTAGTTTTCAAGCTCCAAGTGGCAACATATTGCAGTATATGAAGGCCTACTTGTAAGTGACTTATATTTAAAGTTAGACACCACAAAGCGGAGAATCTGATATGCGTTTTGCGCTTATTTAAGTGACTTTAATAGCCACCCTAGCAGCTGCTAAAATAACCAATCGTAGCCCTGCATTGTATGAGAAACTACCATCCCTGTCGAAATACCGAAATCGGATTGGCTATTTTAGCCGTTTCTAGGATCAGAGCCATTTCTCAATAAATATGTACAGAATTTAGCAGGCATGAACACATGCACAAACCGATTATCAACCAGGTGAATTATGTACCAAGACTTATTATTTATCATTGTCGATTGGTTTGGAGCGAATTAATCGGCTTCTGTTGGCATATGACCTCCCCAACGAGCGCCTCGATATCAGCGGTGACTTCATCTTGTTACCTACTACCAGGGACTAGCCTTTTCTTCATAGGTGTATTATACCTGGAGGTACAGTAACAAAAGATAAGCGAAATACTCATTTTGATAAACCGATAGATAAACAAACAGACCATTACCCACCCGCCATCCACACAACAGGAGAGATAGAGGGAACCAATAACTTCAGAAATAAACAGAAATGATGGTATAATTTCCTAGAATTCTAGGGAAGTAAATGGTGAGTTACGTAACTTATTGGCCTTGGCAACCTATTATTAGGACTTCTGATTGCTTTATGGGCATTTCACTTAACTTGAGGCTACTGGTTATACTAAATGAGTTGAGAGGAGACAATGAAGAGGCTGTTTTTAAAGTGGATATACGCATTCTTTCTGCAGGATAGCTCTCTTCCTGCATCGTTCAATGATGCCAATAACTACACTACATCCCATCACGTCACATGATATTGAATTAAACGAAAATCAACTCAATTATCCCATTACCAGCCAGCGTTAAAATTAGACCCACAAGATCAGTAAGGTATTTGTGACACAAGCAAACACAGAGAGAGAAAGAGAACTCGGTCAAAATTTGTTGTTTCAGTCAACGAGGGTACCATGACAAGTATAGAAATGAGTATGTTAGCTGATAGGAGGCAGTTGGCAGGAAGCCAGGCCTCTTTGCTCTGGGTCCGGTACTTATTGGCCTTCGTTAGCAAGGCATATCTTTAACCTCGAGGGAACTGAGGTTCCACCTGGGTTCGAACCCTTGTCTTGCAGTATTGTAGTCATCGCAGTCACCAATGAGCTATTCGCGCCACGAATAACCTACTGTATGACTACATATAAGACTCAATAATTGGTCCTTGGAACGTCAGAAAGGACATCAGTCCCGTAGAGGTTACAGATAAGCCATCCTGACGACTGCCAAAATGCATGAAACCTAGGTGAAGCAGTGAGCTTTCTATTGATCGCCTTCAAGTAAATAACATCTATCACAACGCACCGCAATAATGAGCCCTCAAGTTTTAATGGTCACACTACGAAAGTGATCGACAGAATTCGTTAGAACTTAGAACTCAAAAACTTAAAATTGTGACTGCTCTCCAGTGACCAATCAAAGCGGAGATAAATATTCTGGATGACAAGATACTCTGGTCAGCTAGCATACTGTCCAGTACTCCTTGACTGTAAGTGACATCCTAAAATATGCAGACATCAATGGAGTTAAACTTTTTGCCCTATCCACAACTGTAACATTGTTATATCCGATAAAACTGTTAGATATATAACTACGATCTGAGAATTATTGATTAAAACAAAAAAAATCAATATTGTGTATTTCGAATTCTATCAGTAATAGTAATCAATAATAACAATGAATGTCATTTATTTCTTGGCGTAGAATTAGTTATTACCAGCCAGATTAAAAGGATATGAAAGTTGTCAACAAACTTAGTTATCAGTACTGGTATTATCAAATGAAAAAAATCAATAAATCGAATTAAATCACTGGAAAATTTGTACATTTTGACGAGAATCAATCTATTCTAAATACACATGTTTGTAGTGAGTCGAATTAAGTGTGATAATATTATTGGTTAACTATGTTTTTTGTGTTCGATTCCTAAAGTCAATCGATAAACATATACTCGACAGTCATCAATAAGGCGTATTCACAATCTTTAAAAGTGATTAACCACTCAGAAGAGTAGATGTCATCATAAACTTTGAGGAATGTTTCTATACAGTATATATCAGTAGATGATAGTTTTTCGATCGAAGTAACTTGTGTGATCACACTGCAGGATATCAGGCTGGACTAATAGTGAAGGCACCAGTAGCGGAATGAGTATTCTAAACTCTGATTGGTGGTTAAGTTTGGAACTGTTCGATTTCAAGTTGGTATTCATTTTATGGAGTGACATCAATTAGAGAAACATTGGAAAGCTAGGGGCACTGGATAGCAGCTGTTTCGTCCAAGTGTGGGACTCATCAGCAGTGTGTACCCATGACCTTACCCCGCTAGGGATGGAATCCAGTACCTTCATATTCCGTGGCCAGCACGTTACCATTGAGCCATTAGGTCGGATTCCAGTGGTTTATGTTTCCTACTTCTGTCACTTCATGACATAGCGCGATCATCACCCATTGTCATCGTTGAGTATTTGTCCTCATGTCCGTCAGATGTATCCCCCCGGTCATGACTTCTCACTGGAACGTCAAGAATCATCTCTCAAAGCTAATCACCAATGAGCAGTAGATCAATTTAATTCGGGGGGTTGTAGGGATTTATTGATTTCAAGTTAGTATCCATCATGGACTGATATCAGCCGAGAGGATATATGAAACATGGGAGCACTGGATAGCTGTTTTGTTCTAGTATTGGACTCCTCAGCAGGGGTTGTCTGTGGACCCAGGAGGAGGGTCAGGTCTAAGAATACGGAGGTTATCACTCAATAACGAGTTTGGAATCCACACATTTAAAAGAGTCCTTATCGTAAACGTATATCACAACAAAGGCGAATTATATTGTCGAACAGGATTGCTAGCCATGTAGTCAGAGTCTCAACTAACTAAGCAAACTTAAAGTCATGATATTTAGAGTTCTACCGGACACAGATTGTCGTTATGTCACCAAAATATACTGGTAATCACAAGTAAAATGGTATTTATTGATTTTATCGAGGAATCGATTGACTATTACAGTTTATATAACAAGAAGAACATACCAAAAATGAATTAATTGCCCAATACATAAATATAACTGAATTTTTTGTGTTTTCATCTTGGTAAACTCATTATACGGTGAAATAAAGGAGTCATTTAAATTTTTGTTTGAAAATTGATTTTTTTTTGAGAGCTACTTTCATGAAGGTACATCATTTAGGCAACCATTTGAGTCAGCAAAGGTCAACATCGTAGGGGAAATGAAACTTATGCGCTCCTGTTAACCTTCAAAGTATCTGATCAATAGAGTTGCATCCAATGACGTTTATCAGTTTAAATCAAATCATATGGTCTCACTGACGCAGATAATAATGAATATCCCACTTTGTCTATCACTGAAAAGGGACACAAGTTTAATTTGGTTGTATACATCTTTCAAAAGCTGTTGGGGGGGTTGATACTTAAGTCGGTGGAAGTTCTGGGTACCAGAAAGTCTAGACCTGTTTGATACATTCAAAACAGTACTAGTTTTGGTAGATGAGCTTCGAATTCAAGGCTCATTGTTTTCTAAACCAATTTTCAACTCCACCCTTCCCTCCCTAAGTTGAATTAGCGTGTATAAGTCAAGTTTTACATAAACTGCTGACGACGAGAGTCCAGACAATTGCGAAAACTTTTAACTTTGATCAAGAGCACCCATAAAGTGTTGTTGTCCAAATTGAAGTTATAGTCAGAAAATGTTCCAATAACATTGCCATAATGATAAACAGTGTGTACATTCAATCCTTAATGGAGACAATGTTGTTTAAGAAATTCTGTAGTCATGTTTGATTTATCAATCATTCCTCAGGTAGTCATAGATGTTTCTTTTTTTGGCACAAACCAACAAAATACCAACAAACAATTAAAGTCATTGAAAAACAGAATGATAGTATGTTTGTAAAGTGCTTCAACTACTTAGATGGTGAAGAAGATGACTGGTTGATTTGTTTGTCAGGTTTCATTTGATGTTTCTCTGTGTGGATGTGTGTGTGTGCCCCCTATATCTACTTGTCATATGATGTTGAGATTGGAGTAATTAACGCAGTTTGTTAACTGTCTAGCTGGTTTTATGCAGCGAAAAAACAAAATCACATTTTTGAAATAATAATTGATACCAGTTGCATAAAAGGTGACTCTCTTGTTATAGTAGCGTTTTGAAGTAACTACTTGAGGGTTCAAATCACCCTGGGAACAGTATCACTCATTGGAATGCTGATGTATCTAAAGCTGACGAATCTCAAGTAGGGTGAAACATGCATTTTGAACTCAACCAACAATAAACTGTAATAACACAGATTTGTATTATATTTTACTATTGATAAAATAAACTGGATTATTGACAAATCTGTACAATTTCAATACCCTAGGATTATTTATTGTTATGAAATTTTCATAAGTTACTTATTTTAAACATTTGTAGTCAACAAAGGCATACCATACTCGCTACATCAACTTCTAATTCTTGTTGAAACTCAAATCTACACAAACTCCTGTATATACACTCCAATAACTAGTAAACTGTATTTATTGCTTATCATTTTGCCTATCTGAGATAGCCATAGTGTGGTAGACTAGTATTTATACTGGGTGATGATTGAAGGTGAGATGAAAATGTTATCAGCTGTCGAACCTCATAGTTCAGTTGGTAGAGCATCGGATTAGAAACCCGGTGGTTACTGGTTCGAATCCGTGTACGGTGTAACTTTTCATCTCAACTTCAATCATCACCCAGTATAAATTTATTGCTTAGTTAGTAGATTTGAAATGAATTGATGATTAATATTTTGCATAGCTTTATAATCATCTATGTACACACCATGACTAATACGGTTCATAAACATTGAATAGTTGTCATTCAATGTTCCATTGCATCTAAGCTGATAATGAAAAGTAAGTAGATTGTGCTAGGAATGAAATTCAGTAAATAGATAATATCTCAGTGTGTGGCAACATATCTAACAGCCCAAATAAAATGGAATAGAAATCTACTAGAACGACAAAATATAACTCCTATATTCACCTTCTATAAGTACTCTCTATTAGGATATAAATTTAAGTAGCAAAGTAGGTGCTATCAGCCGTCCAGACAATTACTAAGAAGGCACGAAGCTTGAATCTTAGAAGGATTGCTTATGATGACAATTTGTATAGTACTGATAACATTTATGACCTTCTGTTGAAATAGCAATTTGTACAATATGTACTACTACTACTACCACTACTACTACTACTACTACTACTACTACTCACACTACTACTACTACTACTCACACTACTACTACTACTCACACTACTACTACTCACGCTACTACCATTACTACTGAAGGAAAAGAGAAAATATGCGTTCCGGTAGTCGATAAATATGGTGCACCTTTCACTAAGACAGTCATTTGCATAATGTGCTTCATTTCCTCTTCTGCTTCTCTCTTGATTTGCTCTTCACACACCTGCCTTGTCTCTTGCGTTTCTCTGGGCCGCATCCTTACCAAATGTTGGTAACTGCCTATGATTTCTGCCGTCTTCTCAACAAATACTACTTATATCCATCCTTATCAGTAACGCCCACTACAGTAATACTCACATTGCTATCATTACTATTACCACTACCAACGTAATACATGTTAAACAATCTCGTGCTAAGTTTTTCTAATGTGGTTTTTGTTACTTATTTATAGCAGTTTTTGAAACTATCAAGATTCTTATAATTAGAAGTAGTAGTTAAACATGATGACATTTATATTTAGTAAAGAAATTCGCCTACAGGTAATTAGTCATGCACATTGTAGTGTAACCTCAACTTTCACAAGCATTTCATTGTAATGAATGTGAGACCTGTCTACTGACCTGAGTCATAAAATAATTTGGTGGATTATAATTAGTCTCGGTTGAATGGAGGTAGTCTGTTGATTGGTGAGTGCACGAATGATTGTCAGTGAGTAAGTGTGAGTGAGGGGGAGGGAGGGAGGGCGGATGGTAGATCGAAGAGGAGAGAAGTGAATAGATGAGTGATTAATCTGTTACCTGAATGAGCGCATAATATGCTCTCATTTTATCATTTAGGCTACTATCATTCAACATAGTAGTTGTAGGCGATATCAATAAACGAATTAATAAAAGACTAGTCTTCTGTACAACGGGGTTATATCCAGGTGAAGAGAGGACAGTTTCTCACCACAAGTCTGATAAGTTCATCTCAAAGATGGTCACCAACCATTTGGAGGCTTCTAGAGGCCTAATTCTTTTGAAAATGGGTTTCGGACCACGTAGTGACGTCAGTTGGAGACTAATTAGAAATAGTTAGACCGAGAGAGAGCTATTTTTTTCAGCCTGATTTGCCATTGTGTATGATATCGACCTGTAGTAAAAGTCTGTTTCAAAAGTAAGTAGGTGAGATAGTGTTCCAGTCAACAAGTTTCTCTCGGTAAACGAATATCAATGAAATGGTTTCTTGTTAAAAATCTAATTTCATTTATATACTAGCTAAATGAACTGCATTTCAACACATATGATAATTCATTGCTACTTGTTCCCTTTTTCTACATAGGCTATGCAAACCGTTAATCAAGCACCAGAGGTCAGTGTACAAGTGGATCTGTTGACACGAACACAATCGGAAGTAATTCAAACCGATCCAGAAATGGATTTTGATACATACACCACACCAACTTTAGTCGATGCTGCTGTAGAGTCAATTAGTCAACCGGAACAGCCTGTTGACCCTATGAGTAAGTTGGGGTGTTTTCTTTCAAGAGTTGTACGCTTAATTTTTTAAAACCTGTAACTAGTTTGAGGTTTATGACGTTGAAAAACTGAGAGCACTCGATAGCTGTTTCGTCCCATTATGCGACTCGTCAGCGGTATAGCCCTGAACGACTTGCTGCTGATACGTTCTCGTCTAGTTTATAGGTAGGTGGGCAGGTAGGTACATTGTTGCAGGGGGTATGTAGAGCAGTGGGAGCTCAGCGGTGATCAAGAGAATCTGAAAGGGAAAAAGGTGAGCCGATGACTCAACAAGTATAGACACACCACACTGGCAGGGCATCAGACTCAGGTCTCACAGCGAAGGGACTAACCATTCAGCCATTAAACGGCAGTTCAATAATTCACAGTTTCTTAATTCCGTCACCTAACGACATACGGCGACTATCCACGAAGGTCTTCAGCTGGTATCCGCCTCACTCCCAACTGGCTGACCGCACAACTCACGGCTTCTCATGGGAACTTTGGGATATCTACCTCAAAGTGTGTCACCAACGAGCACTATACAATAATTTATTTCGAGGTTTATAGGGATTTTGTTTCTTTACACAGTAGTACTCATAATGGGCTGAGTTTGATCGCTGGTGGTATCATGGTTTCGTACAGTTGAGAAGTCACGTACTAAGACGAAGCAGCCATCCAATGGTCCAAGGTTTTCAGTGGATCTTCAAGCCATAACTAGCCCGAATTTCTGCTGAGTTGAATGAGCATCCGGGGGGTTCACAAAAATATCAACAATAGCCATTCTGTGCAATATTAGAACAAAATAAACAGCGAGATGTCAACACTTAACACATTAGTGGTTTGAACGAACGACTGATTAGCTGATAAAATCTTCTATTAATAGGCAAAGGACTCCGGTCCAGTGGCTAGATGGTATCGTGCGGCCAGGGAACCTGAAGGTTCTGGGTTCAATTCCTGGTGAGGTGGGGTCATGGGCACATAATTCTGAGGAGTCCCATGCCACGACGAAACCGATTTCAAAGGCTTCCAGGCTTCTATGATGAATACCAACTTGCAATCACTAAATCCCCATAATCCCCCCCTCCCCAAAATGAAGTCGGTAAAGGCTTGTCTCTCATTGTTACCAACCTGTAAACTTCTTCGGCTGTCCTATGCATCCGTGTATCAGAGCCACCACAATTTATGATGCTGATTAGGTAATGAATGTACAACTTCTTCAATGATTCAGGATTGAATGTAATAGGCACAGGGTATAGCGTCACTCTAAATTTCACCTGCCATAAGCGGGAGTTGGGTAATTTCGTTCTACCTTGTCCAGCACGTTGTTGTTTCTGACATGAATACGTTTCAGAAATGGCCTCTTTTACTTGCCTACTGAATGACATAGTTTTCAGTCCCCTATGGTGCAACAGTTCCCTTGAACATGCTTTATTGTTGAAATGTTCAGCTTGAATTGGGTTTTTAGGTCAGTTGTACTACTATGTAAAGACATTTTCCACTATGCAGCCGTCATTTTCTCTTAAAATTTCATGACTTAACTTATGTACCACATTCTCCGATGTGTTTGGTAACTGGATTTCAGTTGGTGTTGAGTGTATAGATGATCATTGTTCATGATCACATTTCTGTTGACTCTAGTCTTACAGTGGAGCAGAAGTGACCCGAATAGCTTAGTGGCAAATTCGAACCTCAACACTGAGTGAGTGATACAGGTTGTAATTACCAAGGCAACATCAGTTCTCTCAAGGTTCCAGATGCATCTTACTGATGAACGCTGACAAGGACGAAAGCTAGGGTAAACAGGCTTTCGTTCAGTAACTAGCCTTATTATATTTAAAAATCTTCAAGTTCATTTTTATGCAACCAATAATCTTGAAGGGCTTTACCTTGGATTACTGTCGCCGTAAGCGTCAAATGTTTTTTGGCTGAACATTTCATTCTTGGAGCACATGGAGAGTGATGTAGAACTGAGAAGTCTAGTTCACTCTGTCTGTGTCTAATTATGGTGGATAGTTTATATGATCTTACTGGTCGAGAGTGTTTGAACACTCTCGGAAACCAACAAGTTTCATAGTACACTCTGCTTACTTCAGGATGTAGGAAGATAAGATTTTCCTCTAATTCCATCCTTCAAGTTCTTCCAGATGAACATAAGACTTAGAAGTTCCTTAGCAAGGATATTTCCGATGCCATAGGATCTTAATTTCTACCGTTGTCGTCAACATGTGAAACTGCGAATAGACTTTGATTCTCTTGGAAAGATATTTGCCCCTTGTATAATTGAAGTTACATCGTTGAGGCATATATATGGATTCAGGTGGCAAATTCCTTCAGAAATAACTCAGTAGTAATTCATTCAAGCTTTTGTAACGAAAATCGTTTCCTTTTATACAGAATTTGGTTGTCAGGATCTCTAATTAACTAAAATATAGTTGGTATGTGTCTGAATAAGTCGATAACCTGTTCTACAACTCCATTATTTTGAGGGGGTTGTGGAGATTTGGAAATTTTCAAGTTGTTATTCATCGAAGACTGACATCAGTTGGAGAAAAAGGAAACCTGGGAGCACTGGACAGCTGTTTCGTCCTAGTATGGACTCCACAGCTGTCCAGTGCTCCCAGGTTTCCTTTCTTCCTCCAACTGATGTCAGTCTTCGATGAATAACAACTTGAAATATTTCCAAATCTCCACAACCCCCTCAAAATTTAATTGAACTAGTGCTCCTTGGTGACTAGCTTCGAGAAGTATTCCCGAAGTTCCAATGACAAGTCGTGACCGGTCGAGTCAAGCCTGATGGCCGTGAGGACAAATACTCAACGATGACATTGGGTGGCGGTTTGCGCTATATCGTGAGCTAACAGAAGTTGGAAATATGGAGCATTGGATTGTGACCCAGTGGCTCAATGGTAACGCGCTGGTCGCGGAACCTGAAGGTCACGGGTTCCATCCCTGCTGGTGGGGTCGTGGGTGCGCACTGCTGACGAGTCCCATACTAGGAGGAAACAGCTGTCCAGTGCTCCCAGGTTTCCTTTCTTCCTCCAACTGATGTCAGTCTTCGATGAATAACAACTTGAAATATTTCCAAATCTCCACAACCCCCTCAAAATTAAATTGAACTAGTGCTCCTTGGTGACTAGCTTCGAGAAGTATTCCCGAAGTTCCAATGACAAGTCGTGACCGGTCGAGTCAAAGCCTGATGGCCGTGAGGACAAATACTCAACATTATAATGGTAAACACTCCGTTCCCTTTACGGAATTACGAAAAATGATTGTCTACTCCTATTGGTGAACAGTCAAGTGCCTAGAGCTCAACACTACAAAGCGCAAGTAGTCATCTTAGACGAAGTAGAAATTAATGCTAGTCATGTAGTTTGTGGGTGAACATACACAGACGCACACAGAACTGTGTTCTAGACGTGCATGGACAAAAGAAGTGACAAACGCCAGCTTAACTATCTTGATGTAGCAAACACAAAATTGTGAATAGGTGAGAAAGTGTAAGTGGACAACAAGCAGTGAAATCTAATCTAAGAGAGAGGAGCTACACGTGACGTATCATCATAAAAAAGCGTCATATTGCCTCACATTCTTCTGGAAAGAAAGCTTGCCCGCATTTTACTGGAATTCAACCAACCAGATGTAAACTTGTACAGTGTTCTAAACATACTGTTTGTCCTCATCTTTCTTAATTTTAATCCCCTATTGTGTTAATTGTTGTATTTATACCCCCCCCCCCTCCTAGTCCTCAGTTTAATATATATTGACTTGACAGGTAAATGTGTGATCAGATTGTTCGAAATGTATTGCGCAAATACATCACATTGCTCAGATAAACTTCGTCTTCTAATTACGCCATCGAAATTCATAAAAGGTTCATACTTCAAAAACCAACTATTCCAGACAGGTCACGGGTTCGATCCCTGCTGGTGTGGGGTCGTGGGTGCGCACTGCTGAGGAGTCCCATACTAGGACGAAACAGCTGTGCAGTGCTCCCAGGTTTCCTTTGTTCCTCCAACTATGTCAGTCTACGATGAATAACAACTTGAAATATTCCAGACATTTTAAAATCTCTAACGCCTTCGTCTAGCCAATAATAAATTTAAAAAACTATCCAATCAGAGAAGTCATATGCCTGCCTTATCGATTTTTTAACCAACGACCCTGGAGAATGCAGTTAAGACTGATGAAAATTAAATGCAGCTATGTGATGCATAATTTTTGAATTGATTTCTGTGCGCAATTTTTTTTATTATGTTTGTCTTTCGATCATCTGTGTATATCTCACGAAAATATTGAAGTTAGGCCTTACAAAATTTAGATACGTGATGTGACGTTAACGCAAACTTACATTTTATTCATTTTTCAGTAGACATAAATTACACAAGTAAAAATACATTTTATACAATGAATCATACTCGGTGTCCAAGTTTTTTCAAACCATCCAGTCCATTGTTGGTCAGGCTACCTTCAGACACAAATCTTTTGTTCAATTTATGTTAATTCATCGGTATTTTATGTTTCAAAAGAAATAATAGTTTTTTTGCAGATGAGATCGATTATTTGCAAGCTAGAAAGAAAAGAAGTGAAAAGACCGCCAAGATCGAATTGAAATATTGAACAAATTAAGTGAATCAATAGGGCATGGTGACTGTATCGATTGTCTCTCCTTTCAAAAGTATACCGAATGCCTCCAACCAATTAACACCTACCAAAGTACATCGCAATGCTGAGCCTTCTTCCTAGCTTGATGGTCACATAGCAAACTGATGAATAGAATTCGGTTTGCATTCAGGACTAGATATCATGAAATTGGTTACTGTCTAGTGACCTTATCCATTCCTGAAATAGAGCGGACGTGACGCAATTAGCTCAGTGGTAATGTCTTTGAATGACGTGGGGTTTGAATCTCATGCAGCAGATCAGTTTGCTCGAGGTTGGAGATACGCCTTGATGATGAGTGTCAACAAGCTCGAAACCTATGTTCAACAGCCCTGGCTTCCTACCCATTTCTCTTCAAATAACTAAATCACACACTAGTCAAGACTGCTGTATTTTGGAACACTATTCAAAAGTGAATCATGGTGGATGAAGGAGCTGAACACATTTTTAAATAGCCTTGTCTGATACCAGTCCACAGTATAAACAGTTAAGATTCACCTACAGGATTCACTACTGAGAAAGCCTTCTTCTACATGTCTTGCAAAACCACACAGTTTCCTCAGATACTAATCAAAAAACACATTGGAAGCTTCAATGGTCAGCTTGGGGATAATTCTCACAGGTTTAAAGCTTTCAATAGATGTCATATCTAAGGCGGTCTAATTGGTTTCTTTTTCAGAAGGAAGCGACTTCTTTTTACTTCAACCGAGAAGGTAGTTATATCCTAAAATACAGAATTTTGATTGGTTACTCCAATAGTTGTCAGGATGGCCTTTAGCTTCACTCTGACAAAGTACATACATCAGACTATATCCAATATCTACTCTTTTTTTTAATGTTCCATCAAAGATATCTTAATTAGCTTTCAGCCTGATTAATATCGATCTATGAATTTCAAACCAATGACTAAATCATAGAGCGTTTATAGGGGAACATGAAAATCCTTGTGTTCCACTCTGATAGGCAGTAAATAAGTAGACTGTTGAATAGATCATACACATGATGAAACAGCGGCCAAATGGTTTCTGTCTTTTAAATGGTATCATCTTATTTTGAAAATTGATTTAAAAACTCCAAAATCATCAATCCAACTATTAATTATGAGATCATAGATTCCTCTATCTATTCTATCACTTAAACATCCAGCCAACTACCCTCATAAAATACCTGACTATATTGTTTCCTTTGTATTCAGTATATTTACTCTTTTCTTTTGTATACCTGTTCAACTTGTTTCTTCAGACTCTCTTCGTGTTTACCTGTTGAATCAATTACCAATCAGTGTTTATCTGAAGAGTCAAGTGTTAAAAAGTTGAATGATTGTTCAATCTGTATAGAAAATTATCGAATTGGTGATTATGTCATGGGATTGCCATGTTTTCATATGTTTCATCATAGATGTCTGTGTGCATGGATTGAAAAGGTAATTCTCATCAATTTATGCATATTTCAATATCTACTCTCATTATCATCATCACTCTGATGTTCATTTCAAGTAAAGCTGGTGTCCAAATAGATTTTTATTCTTACCTAATGAATTTGGAATTTGAATGATACAAGAATGAAGATATTTGCAGAATAAAATGGGTTCACTTCACTTCAACAACCCTTCATCAGCTGCAAACAACCTACAACTGAAATGAAGTATTGGTAGTAGTAATCATGACATAACCTATTTCAAATATGTAGAAATAAATGAAGATTTGAAATCCAAGATTAGCAGTGAGGTGATGAGTGAGTCGAGGAAGTACAGACTTGATAATCACAAATCTAAGTTAGAATGAAAGGTAATCTATACACATCTAGAGCTATGGAAAGCGGAAAGGGAAAGTAAAAAGACAGAAGTGTAAAAGAGCTCGTAGGTTATGTAGCCACATGAAGAAACTGGAAAATCATTAGACTGAGGGATTGATAGACATCTATTGATATCCTATTTCCACTGAATGCCTGATGGTTGAGCTGGTAAAGACCTTGCTAACTATCAGAAACAGATTGTTCACAATATGCTCATAGAGTTGAGTAGACGTCATTCTTTCGGTCCTCCCTGTGTATTTGGTTCAGCAAGGACACGTGAAATGATGTACACAGTTGGAGGTGATGTGAGATGGGAGTTTGTCTACTTTCGACTGTGTTATTAAGCACACTCTATTGTGTTGTTAGTCACTCAGCCCAACAGCTTCAGTTTTTCACATAATTAAGTAACTTACAAGATCTTGAACAACCACATTTCTGTTGCACTGCTGATTGTCTCTTGGCTCTCCCCACCGCTTTGCAGAGCTCCAGAATTTTTGATTTTATCATGTCTATAAATTGCCATCATGATTATTAACTCTGTACTTCACTGACTCACTTAATACCATGGTACTGGTCCAGTACTTCAAATCGTGATTTGTTTCTACCTATTAAAGTATGTTGGTCGCCACCTATGCTACTACTACTACTACTACTACTACTACTACTACTACTACTACTACTACTACTACTACTACTACTACTACTACTACTACTACTACTACTACTACTACTACTACTACTACTACTACTACTACTACTACTACTACTACTACTACTACTACTACTACTACTACTACTACTACTACTACTACTACTACTACTACTACTACTACTACTACTACTACTACTACTACTACTACTACTACTACTACTACTACTACTACTACTACTACTACTACTACTACTACTACTACTACTACTACTACTACTACTACTACTACTACTACTACTACTACTACTACTACTACTACTACTACTACTACTACTACTACTACTACTACTACTACTACTACTACTACTACTACTACTACTACTACTACTACTACTACTACTACTACTACTACTACTACTACTACTACTACTACTACTACTACTACTACTACTACTACTACTACTACTACTACTACTACTACTACTACTACTACTACTACTACTACTACTACTACTACTACTACTACTACTACTACTACTACTACTACTACTACTACTACTACTACTACTACTACTACTACTACTACTACTACTACTACTACTACTACTACTACTACTACTACTACTACTACTACTACTACTACTACTACTACTACTACTACTACTACTACTACTACTACTACTACTACTACTACTACTACTACTACTACTACTACTACTACTACTACTACTACTACTACTACTACTACTACTACTACTACTACTACTACTACTACTACTACTACTACTACTACTACTACTACTACTACTACTACTACTACTACTACTACTACTACTACTACTACTACTACTACTACTACTACTACTACTACTACTACTACTACTACTACTACTACTACTACTACTACTACTACTACTACTACTACTACTACTACTACTACTACTACTACTACTACTACTACTACTACTACTACTACTACTACTACTACTACTACTACTACTACTACTACTACTACTACTACTACTACTACTACTACTACTACTACTACTACTACTACTACTACTACTACTACTACTACTACTACTACTACTACTACTACTACTACTACTACTACTACTACTACTACTACTACTACTACTACTACTACTACTACTACTACTACTACTACTACTACTACTACTACTACTACTACTACTACTACTACTACTACTACTACTACTACTACTACTACTACTACTACTACTACTACTACTACTACTACTACTACTACTACTACTACTACTACTACTACTACTACTACTACTACTACTACTACTACTACTACTACTACTACTACTACTACTACTACTACTACTACTACTACTACTACTACTACTACTACTACTACTACTACTACTACTACTTCTCTTTGTTTGTAATAGTAGGCTGTTTGTTTAGATTTTTGAAAGGTCTGTAATGTGCTTTTCACTACACAGGAGTATAAATGTGTCTCTCTTATTACTGGAAGATAGGAGGGAGGTTGTGTGGTTGGTAGTGTGACACTCATTTCAACCTATCCACCTTGTTGTAGTAGTAGACACAAAGTCCTTCTCTGTCACTGTGCGGAATTGTCATTTGATTGAATTCCGCATGCAGTTCCATGGTCACGTAGCAGTTTACACTCATATGTGCCTAATTAGAAGCTGGTCGAATGGTCTCTGACGTCTAGCTGACCTAAAAACAGGTAAGGCTTGTAAAGGCGCGTAGTGATAATATTGATCATAGTATGACTGTCAGTTAAGGCTAACAATAAATCATGAAGAACTGGAACTTCCAAACCATTTCGAAACCACATGCCAATGCTGTATTAATTTACTCTTACTCTTTTTGTCCACTGTTACATTCTCTACAACATTACTGAGTACAAACACACCAACTAACGGTATTCTCTGAAAATTTGAATTCCTGTTTTTCGGTTATTGTTTGACTTTTTTTCGACACAAAATGCTCCAGAGTGATTTTTAACTTGTTTTTTGTTTGTTTTCACTCCCGGGATATTTCTATTGGCTAGCGTGTGTTTTAATGTATTGTTTGTCAAGGTCAACCCAGTGAATCTCTAATATGTATATATATATATATATATATATATTATATATATATATTTTTCGAGAGAGAGTTGTGGGGATTTGGAAATATTTCAAGTTTTTATTCATCGTAGACTGACATCAGTTGGAGGAAGAAAGGAAACCTGGGAGCACTGGACGAAACAGCTGCTGTTCAGTGCTCCCAGGTTTCCTTTGTTCCTGCAACTGATGTCAGTCTACGATGAATAAAAACTTGAAATATATATTTGTATATATATATAGGACAGTTCCAGCCTAGCTTCAGATTTCATTGATTGAATCAGCTTTGCAAATGTCAACCAACATGACTATATCAGGGAAGAGTTGATTAGAAGGGACTGTATTGTTCATCGCTTGCCAGTCAATAATTCATGTAGTACTGAACCACTATCTCAAACTGTGATAACGTAAGTCCAATGAATGATAGGAAAGATAACCAACCTACAGTGCTGGAGAACAACTTCACATGTATGCTAGGGGAGGTTGGAGTAGGTTGGAAGCGGGTTCATGTCAGCCAAATCAAGATATGACACACGTCGATGAACTCCCTGATTGTTGATAATGTAAACTACGTGCTTGGGGTCCCTAAGACGAAAGGAATCAGTGGTCTGAGTACTTTTGATGATATGGCTTTATCTTGAAATTGTTTATTCTCCCACATGACTTTGTCTACTTTGATTTCAGTCTCTTTTTCTATCCACCTGCTGTTTGTAGACTAGTGTGAATTGTGGCAATTTGATGTGATGGACTTGTGTGAGAGATAGGTAGCGTTGATCTTATCTGTTTCTTTGTCTACATCACGATTTGAGGAAAGTTAATAGTTAGCGTACATAACTGACAACTCTGAAAACCAGTTGAAACAAATGCCTACAATATATCAAATCAAGGTCACACAGGCACAATAAAAGAGTGTAATACAAATATACAACTCTCGAGTGTATCGGCGATGTACGCGCAGGAATTTGATTCACAATATTACATTAAATGTCCCTAAGTGACTAAAGAACTGTTCTATATAAAAAATATTGGTGATAAACGATATGCTTTGTTGTTCGCTCAAGCCTTTTGGACAGATCAGAATAATCCGCATAATTTTAAGTATATCTTCCTATCTTCTCTCTCTCTCTGATGAGCTTCGTGCCAGATAAGTGAAATAGTCATTCGGTGGCACAGATCACCTTGGTCCTTTGGTCACTTGTGAGCTATTTCACCTAGTCTCTAACCACTGGTTTCTGTTGTCCCGTGGACCCCAACCAGGAAGTCTGAATTTCTCTATATGGCTCAGAGCAACAGTCAAGGATTGCATGTAGTGATGCCATGTGTTAGTCTAGCCGCTGCTAACGTTTTTCTAGCCTGAAACTACTTGAACTAGGATTTTGAGACGACGCAGACGGTGATTAGGCATGCGTAACATATATCCCTCAGCCATCTCAGTCACAAAAGGTTCACAAACGCATCAACTGACTTCTGCATTACTGAAGTGATGACACGAAGGTGACAGTGGTGGAACACCTGAAGCCTTCTCATTCCTCTAACTTTAGTACTCATGTTTCATAGATATACAGGTGAATAAAGTGAACTGCAGTGCGATACAATCACTTCTTGGCTATCTCAGCTTACTTCACATATATTGTTTTTTATCAACAACATAATTTAAGTATCCCTTGGAAAAAAGAAACAGTCTAAAATGTTCTAGGAGTTTGAGGAAGGTATTCCCTGCGAGTGGACAGTCTAGAAACCAGTACACTGAAAGCCTAATTACCTCTTCAAGATCGTTTGTAAGCTTGTTTTCTGTGTCTTCCATACACACAAACACAATTGAGATAATCAACTCACTCGCTTTCTCAACCCTTTTCACATCGCTGAGCCAAAAAACTTCATTTCTTATGAGATTAGAATAATTCAAAAAACCATAATTTATACTTTCATCACTAAGATTAATTTTGTTTTCAAGACTTTCTGTTTTAGTATAATTGTTTTTATATCATACCGTCGATGATTGGACCTAATTGATCGGTCTATATTGGCATATGGGTTCCTGTGCAGATGTCTCGATAATACCTGTGTTCTAATTATGCCAGTAATGAATGGTGGCTAGCAGTGGAAACCAGGATGCACATTTCGTCCTATTTGGGACTCGTCAGTTGGATGTACCTGCTTTCCAGTAAGTGATGTTGTTCCCACAGGGACTCGGACTAGAGTCGAGTCTCAAATAGGGCTAAATGCGCATCCTGGATTCCACTGCTAGCCACTATCTATCACTTCCTACTTTCCTTACACATTCACTCACACATACAGACACATCTGGGAAAATATCCTACTTTAACCGGTTGTTAACAGGTGTCCTCTTGTACTTCTTCTGTCAACGCTTTCATCCAGCTAACTATACTCACCGACCAACAACACATAAACACATCCACACATATAGACTTCATGATGTAGTTAGTTTTTTCTCGATTTCATCGAGTTTTTCTCCGAAAATTTGTCGTTTCCGTCTTGGGTGTTTTTGTCAATTAGGGTTGATGATGATGACAACTAGGCATGGTAATGAAAGTCACGAAATTGTTTGTTTTTTCCACTCTTCGTTTATCTAGTTGTTTTTGTTTTTTGAGTAAGTAAGCTGGAAAAATAGATTTCTTTTCTCACCATCTTTAATTTTCCTTCAGTTTTCCATCTACCTACCTGAGGGTAGGTACTGCGATGTAGTTTCTAAAAAACATCGAAACTATAGACTTTCTGTTTACCTTTTTAATCAACTTTTTGTTTACTTTAAGCAGTTGGCTTTATCTTCAAAAAACTTTTATTTACCAATTAGATTTCTTAAAATGGCTTTGTGTGACAGACTACTGATTTAGAGAATATTACATACAGTTCACTGCGATTATAAACCACCTAACTAGCTCCTATTATCGTGTCGTTGATTGCATCGAATTGATCCATGTCTATTAGGATATAAGGCCCCTGAGCGGATGCCCCGATATTGCTTGTGTCGTCCTGGATTCCACTGCTGGCCACTATCCATCATTGATATATAATCCAAACACAGGGCAATATCGAGGCCTCCGCATAGGAGCCCATATGTCAATGCCTGTCACAAAAGAAGTGCATCTTGGCTTGATGGTCTAGTGGATAACGCTCTGGTGTTTGAAGCGATCCGTCTCGAGTTTGAGTCCCGGTGAGATCAACATCACTAACTGAGAGGCAGGTATATACAGCCGAACGAGTCCCGAATAGGATGAAATCACATCCTGGATTCCATTGTTAGCTACTACCCATCATAACTTGGTAGTTACCTACTCTTTATGATCGACAGAATTCATTCAAGGCATCAAAGAAATGAGTGACTATTATTGACTACTCACCGATCGATCGATTGATTGTAGCCAACTTCAGTCTCACAACAGGGAGTCAAATATGCTTGGTTGTATACTGAACTGTTGTGTTGGTTGATATAGCTTGAAAGAACTGACTGACTGATTAATTTCTTATGGTCAGTATTTGGTTCATTTCCAGCTGCCTCCAATCAATATCGATGCATTCACGCAGATGGGTGTTTGCCAGTTGACGCCGATCAATTCGGTCTAGTCAAGGACGAGAAATTACAAAGTGATAACATAAAATCCCACCGTCTCACAAGAAGTGGTTACCAGGACTCAGTCAGCATTTAAAGAGATCGGTTCTGAGTTCGAGTCTTGGTGAGAAGATCATTACTCACTAGGAGCACCAAGCTGATGAGCCTCATCTTCACTATCGTAAGTAGTTGTTGTGATACGATAACCTGGCTTATGAAATCTTACGGGGATTATTAATTCCAGGAATGAAATTAAGCCATTTCGACTCATCTAAGAGTAGCTTCATTCGGTATATGAAATCCATTGTGGGTTTTTTAACAACCTTATTCATAAGTGTCCATTGCTTTCTTATTCCCTCATACAGTCCTTTCACTATATGTTCGTTGACTTCCTGAATGTAATCGCGTTTGATTAACACTACTGTCTTTATGTGACTTAGTGATTGCTGTGTTCCTGTCATTTTGGAGGTTGTTCAAAGATTCTATCTCTTCTCCATGATGCTGTTCAGAGGAATGAATGAACTCGAATTAATAGGAGGATACAGTTTACGACTCTTTAGGTTATGCAATCGAATTCGATCGCTAACATCATCAGCACTAATCGTCATCACTCTACATTGCCATGTCAACTAGTTCACCTCTCAGAATACGAACCCAGGACAAGGTGGTACGTCATAGTGACTAACTAAGTTGGTTATAATGATGATGCTTTGCTAAGTCAATGTGAATTTCTCTTATCGTGTAAAACTTGAACACACTCAAGATAGACTATAACCCGATTATCGAATACAAGCACTTCTTACTGGACGTCTATTCCACATGTAGTGTACACCATCATACTTATTGTTACCGTTTAACTTTCACGTCATTATCTTTGAAAACATTCTGAATTTAATTTTCAATAGGATCTGGAGTACATTGTGTTGATACGATTGTTGCTTTTCTTGGTGACTGATTAAAATTTAGTGAAACAGCCTTTGATAAATCTATAGAAGTTTGAACAGTTAGACAATGGTAATATCATCAGCTTTCAAGCCTTAGACATAGTGTTGTCCTGTTGAACTACTAAATTACTTTTTATTTGAACAATTATTTTGGTAAATACCTTGAAACCTTGAGCTCCTGGGTTTGACTCCTGATGAGGTTGTTGGTGCATAGTGATGATGAGTTCTATACTAGGACGAGTCATATCTCCAGTGTGACCACATTTTCAATAGTCCCCAACTGTTATTGGTTCGTGATGAATACCAACTTGGAAACAATAAATGAATCCCTACAAATCTGCAAAACTGAAAAAATTATTTTAATGATCAATCTTTTTTTTTAAAACGTTCATCCAAATGCCGATTGTTTAGTGTAATCTATAAATATGTCTAAAATCTTAATATGCATGTTATTCATTTCAAGTGATCACGTGACTGGCTGACTCTATACATCTGTTAATTGATAGATTGGTTAACTTGTTTAAGCATTTATAAAAAGACTGATTGAGCCAGCGAAGAAATATATTCCTTTTCAATTAGATCTTCACTTGAGCTCTATACTAATATATAGGTTTAAAATTCAGTCAAATTACCAATCATGTGGTGATGTTTCGGAAATAATCATGTAAATAATCAATAGAGTTACTAAAATAGGAGATATGAATATTGATAGAAACAAGAAGGGAAAATGTGCACAAAATAAACTAGAAGTTACATCATGTTGATGGCCATGGTAATGAAAATGGTTAGAACAAACTTCTGTTGGATACAAAGGCTAGGTTTAGTGAACGTGGATTGCAATCGCCTCTGCTATGTGAAGTAACTGAGTGCGTAATCCATGAGGTAAATTAATTGGAATCTGATGGATGATTTTGAAGGCTTTTCCAGTAACTACTTGATGTCCTGTGTCAACTAAGTGTGCAAGTATGGAGCTCTTTATAGTTCTAATTTGTCCCTTGTTCAACCATGATGGGTGGTGCTCATAAATTCGACGATGGAACTGCCTCATTGTACGCTCAATGTAAGCAGCTCCACAGGAACAGTTGAATTGATAAATTCACATTGGAAGTGGCAAAGCCAGGCAGTTTGTCTCTATTTCTTGCACCTGGAATCGGGGCGTTTGTAGAAGGTGGGACATAATCTAGCAGCTGGGAATGCTTTATGCAAGACTCTTTTTATGCGTTGTATGATGATCTCACTGGCAATATCCACTCTTAAATTCCAGCTTCAAGAAGATTTGCTTCTTAGGAACTGTTGGCATTGTTGTCTTAACCCTCGTAATACTCATGTGCTTAGTTACAAACTTGTCTGGGTAGCCATTGCTACTAAACACGGAATGGTGACGCACTCTTCCTTTATAGCATCCTTTGAGCAAATAGCTAAGGCACGGTATGCTAAGCATTTCACTAGGTTCCTTTTGTATTGGAGGGGTACAGCACTAAAGAAGTGCGTATATCGACCTGTTGATATTGGCTTTCTATAAACACTTCGCTTCAGGGTTCCATCAGACCATCTTACCAACAGAACATCAAGAAATGGGATACTATCATTTTTCTCCTCTTCCATTGTAAAGTTGATCGCTGGGTGAACAGTATTGAACTTATTCAGAACAGCATTGTTATCAGTCTCACTTTTGAGAAGCATAAAGGTATCATCCATGTAACGACAATATAACTCTAAAGGGCTAATAGTATAGTTCAGTGGACCATTCTCAAGTTTTGTCAGAAAAAAACCTGCTAAAAGTGGGCTAAAGAATGACCCCATAGCAACACTATCAGATTACCGGTGAAGTTCATTATTGAAAAGAAATTGTGCATTCATTGTACACCTCAGAAGTTGTTCTTTCAATATCGATTCGCTCTCAAGGTTATTATTTACTGCATTACCTAATTTCCTACTATCTGTGCCATTTATTTCATTTCTGTTAGAATTTACAATGTCCAGTCTGTAGAATGCCAATCTATGAAGTGGATTAAACTCGATTTACAGAAGAAAAGAAATTGCTCAAAATTTACCGAACACCTAGAGTATAAAAAAAGAAGAGAGATCAGTGATTTCTATTTTATTACCCCATAAAGGATATTGCAGTAAATTGAAAAGTGAATAACATAAATAACCATTCATGTGTAAAATTACATACTATGCTTTCAATTCTCCTTTCTTTTTACACTATTTCCATTTTGATATCTGTGTGTGCACATCTGCGTGTGTGACTAGTGCATGCCATCGTAAGAGTAAGTAATCTCAGTTTACTGCTGGAATTGTGTCTTCATCTTAAGCAACTATGAAACTATCACTTCTAGAATCATCTGGAACTTGAGACTAATGTACAGCTGTGCATTCAGTTGTAAAATGATTAGTGATTTTATGGAACTTCAGTTGTTTCTTGTAAGAACACGTAAAATTTGGTGATTTAAGTGAAATTAAAACGACAGATTTTGTGAAAAATTGTTCGTCCATTTAGAATTAAAGAAATCTAATTGGCTATATCAGTCGCTAACCTCACCTGGTTAACTAGTTCACGAGAAGTAATTTGGCAGTTGCTTCAACACTATGGAATACTACAAACCCTTATCAGTCTCATTCAACAACTATATGAAGATGCCACATGCCAAAGTAATTCACAATGGGAAGCTCAGTGATGCTTTTGAAGTGAAGACAGGAGTGAAACAAGGCTTGCCTACTATCCCCATGATATTCCTGATTGTGGTGCACTGGATCATGCAGCAGACAGTGGGGAGCCAGAAGAGGGGCATACGCTGGGCCACGGAAAAGAACCTAGAAGACTTGGATTTCGCCGATGACTTATGTCTAATGTCTTGTCGCACGAACTTGAAGATCTACAGGCGAAAACTAACAAGTTGACAGAAGTGGCAGGGCACCGAAGACGGGACTTCAAGTGAACGTAGAAAAGACAAAGGTGATGAAGATACCCAACCAACACCACCGCCACCAACAACAAGCAACAATCACCATGAACGGGAGAAAATTAAAGGAAGTAGTCTCTTTCACCTACACCTAACTAGGCAGCACCGTCTCATCTACAGGCGGTGGCACAGACGAGGTCGGAAAAGCAAGATAAGCGTTCGTTAACCTGAAACCAGTGTTGAAAACATTCTGCACTGCACTCGGCATAAACAACAAGATTCGGATTTTCAACAGCAATCCAGTCAATTCAGTGCTTGTATGTGATGGCTGAGAGACTTGGTGCGTTACGAAAGGGATTTCCAACAAACTACAGACATTCATCAACAACTGCCTACACCGGCCTATACTGCCTATTGAAGATCAGATGGACTACCAGAATAATAAGAATAAGCAAGAAGGAACTCTGACTGACTGGCTAGCTGGCTGGCTGGCTGGCTGGCTGGCTGGCTGGCTGGCTGGCTGGCTGGCTGGCTGGCTGGCTGGCTGGCTGGCTGGCTGGCTGGCTGGCTGGCTGGCTGGCTGGCTGGCTGGCTGGCTGGCTGGCTGGCTGGCTGGCTGGCTGGCTGGCTGGCTGGCTGGCTGGCTGGCTGGCTGGCTGGCTGGCTGGCTGGCTGGCTGGCTGGCTGGCTGGCTGGCTGGCTGGCTGGCTGGCTGGCTGGCTGGCTGGCTGGCTGGCTGGCTGGCTGGCTGGCTGGCTGGCTGGCTGGCTGGTCAACGAACCAACGAAGCAAGAAGCTATCGCTCAACAACTATGCAGTAGAAGGAAGTGGGGATGGATTGGGCATTCACTGAGAAGGCCGACTGGGGACATCACGCGTCAGGCCAGGCACTCGAGTGGAACCTAGATGGGAAGCGACGAGTTGGGCGTCCTAGCTGATAGTGACATTGAGTAGATGGTGTGAGGATGAAATGAGAGCTAAATGATAACTAAGTGACTTTAAAGACCCCTTAGTAAAAATTGGGACATATTTTATACAAATCTGCCTCTCTTGATGAAATAAAGAGAAATAATTGGTTGTTTAAGTCGTAGGTAGGATGGCCGTTAAAGTCACTGGAAATAATTGGATATGAGTGTATTGAGCATACTGGACGAGTGGGCGAGTTTATTAAAGGCCAATCATGTGCAAGGTCAGAGTTAGGACTGAATTAACGGAATCATGTGATGTAGCCAATCAGAACCAGGCGAATTAAGGACAAGGTCAACTCAAAAATATAACAGTTTCTTCTGTCACACTGAGAAGTTGGAATAAAAAGATAACCTGGAATATTAGTAGGAATTTGGTAGACAGTTTCAGCACTATTTTCTGCATCAGCTGGTGAAATACATTCGGAAAAGGAAATCCTAGGTTGAATGCAATTATTGTAAGAATAAAACTTCTGTCCTTCATTCTTCCATTTGAATGGTAGTCAGAATTTCCAAATATTTGAAATATGTGATAAATTGTTCTGTTACATATGTTGCGTGTTGATGCAATGAACAAAGATTGTGGAATCAGTCTCTCCCCCTTTCGCATACATTCAGCTTTGCTGGATTTTAGAATTGGTATCCTATCGGAACTCACATAGTGATTATGTGACCATGACGACAGCTAAGTTTTTCTCTAAATTAGGTTTCCTGAAACTGTTGTGCTCCGCTATACGACTTACTTCGACTGGTTACTTTGACCTATGATATAGTGTGATTATGAAAGATAATTTGTACTCAGAACGTTATCCAGTAGATAATACTTTATCGTTGTGTGCTGTATCAAAATAGCAGGCTAATAAAGAATTAGACTGAATGACAGTTTTGAAAGGGAGCAAAACATCGCCAAGGTCAACATCCTCATCACAAATGAAAAATGCATCTTCCATGTATCTAATATCTAATAATTTAACTAAGG